GATCATCATAATCATCTATAAATCCATTTCCAGAATCCTCTCAAATTGCCAAAGGATAACGGATATTCATCAAAAAATGCATATCCGACCCCGAGAAAAGTCCCGAAATAACCTCCTTCCCATTTTGGGTGGTTACCCTCCGGTGTCAACGTGGAAAATGCACCATTTATCTCGATGATTTTCCCAGTCAAATTTCGTGATAAATGGGATGTACTGTGATAAATGGAATAAATCTTGTTTTTGTTTAATGGGCTTAATGGGGATATACTTATATATACCAGTATGATATATACATTTGTGATAAATCTCGTTGTTCGATCTTTTTTTTGGGGCTTCCCCATTTTCAAAGGTGAAAAAATCTTTTTTTTGGGGCAGGAGCTCGCCTGGGTTTGTGTCACCGTGATCCAGGCTGGGGCCACGAAATTCCTGCCACCACAGGCGCTCGCCCAGTCTCTTTCTTCCATGCTCAAGGGCCTCGAGGCCGGGGGCATAGTTGTGTCATCCTACAATTATTCACTGAATGTTTAAATAAAGAATAGAGATTCTTGTTATATAAGTCTCCTTTATCGAGTGCATTTATATAGATATATATATATATTATATAATTATATAATTATATAGATATTATATATATATAACTATATATATATATAGTTGATTTGAAAAGCCCCATGCATGTACCATCTTCAAAATCTGTGAATCTCTTGGGCCCTCTGCATCTTGGTGTTCTCCTCCACATTGTCCAGCCACTTTTGAGCTCTCTCGGCCATTTGCACCTGGCAAGCACGGTGCTGAAGAGATCTACGGTGGTAAACCCCATGCCATAAACAACGACCATTTGGGGATTGTTTTTACCACCCATCTATGGCAATACAAGGGTGTTCCTAAAAGGTGTCGGGCTGGTAGAAAACCGCAATACGAAATGCATCTTTGGTGGTTTGGGAGGGGCGTATGGGGTGGGGGGGTGGGGGGGTTTTCTTGCACATACACACATACTTCCTGCTACGCTAGAGACATTTTCTCCTGCACTCACACACATACTTCTTTTTACACGAGAGACATCTTCTCTTGCGCATACATACATACTTCCCGCGTCGCTATATACATCTTTTTCTTGCACTTACCCACATACTTGATGCTACGCCCCATAGACATCTTTCTTGCAGATACATACATACTTCATGCTACTCTACATATGTTTTTTTGTTGCACATAGAAACGTACTTCCTGCTACGCTAGAGACATCTTTTCTTGCACATACACACGGAGGAAAAACAATCGTGCTTTGAAGAAGCTTTGCCCTGTAAAACTCAATGGAATGTTACAATGAGTCTTCAAAATCCCCGGGGTTTTCAAGGTGCAATTCTAACATGACATGATTACAGCGCTGTGGCGCTGAGCACATTTGGTTCCAAAACATGGACAACTGCTAGCGCGGTTGTCACCCTGCTGGGATGTTTCTGTCTTTTGGGGTTTGCAGAAACCATCCCCACGTCCTTCAAAAAATTAGTTCGTTTTGCTTTTCTAAACTCCAACAAAACAAAAACTCTGCAATTCGCAGGAGATTTGATCATGCACCCCCAAAAACGCGCGCGAGCTTCTACCAGCCCGACGCGTCCTAAAATGGGGGTACCCCCAAATCATCCATTTTAATTGGAGTGTCCATTATAAACCATCCATTTTGGGGTACCACTTGGGGTACCTCCATTCATGGGAAAAACTCCATGTGAGGCATGGCCCTGGGACCCCGCCTCCTTGGACAGACGAGCAGCTTCAGCCAGGGACTCCTTCTCTTCTTTCTTTGCCTGGAACCATGGACCACTTGAGGATGCGAAAAAACAGCTAGACACAACTATAGTTTGGTGACCAGCTGGTGACCATATCCACTTGAGGATGCACTTTTGAATTGATCATAGAATCATAATTGTTCATATTTCCTGGTCACCTGAAAAATCTGATATGTTTGGTGATCATTTTTTGATATTTTTTGGGTCACCTGAAAAGAATCCCCACTCGGTGTATCATGGTGTATCATATGTTGAAAACTCGTTGCCACTTGACCATATATAACTTGGGTGATCTGTTGGACCTATGACCTACTCGGGTGCCGCACCTGCTCAAGGTCATGGTTCAGATGATATCGCCTCAGATCCAGCGTTGTGCGTGACAAATTCAAAGGGGGAAGTAAGGCCAAATGTGGGGCAAAATGATAATATATGATCATTGATCGATTTAGGGATATCACATGATATTACCATATATATATATATATATTCATTCCATATATCAACCATATATTAACCATATACTTACCATATATTATACCATATATTATACCACATATTATACCATATATTATGCCATATATTATACCACATATTATACCATATATTATACCATATATTATACCATATATTATACCATATATTACCCTAATTTTTGGACAAAACCATAACTTTTCGCACCATTTCTGGCACAGGGTGTCGTGCACACAGAAGCTGCATGAACTGAGACACTCATTGGGCTTGAAGAAGACATCCAGTTCCACGGTGGCACCTGAACCGCTTTGAAAACACCAAAAAAAATTGACATGTGTCATCCTGTGTCCAGGTAAGTGTGTATGATTATGTACATTTACATGTATAATCATGTATACATATACATGTGCATATGTTTATATATATTTTTATATGTGTGTGTGTGTGTCTGTGTGTGTGTGGTATATCTGCACGTGTGTGTGCGTGTGCGTGTGCATGTGCGTGTGCATGTGTTACCAAGTGCTTGGCGTCGGAATTACGTGTTCAATATCTTTAACCCGATCTTGTCTTTTGTTGGGAATCGGAGTTGTTCACATTTTATCACCTCAAAATTATCACACTTTTGGTAAAAGCCCCCGGTGATTCTAGGCCCTTCTACATCAATGATGTCCTGAGAAAGATGGAGGGTCGAGTTGGTTTGGCAGCCTGTTTATCAACCAACCAGTGGAAAAGGGACCACCATGACACGGATCTTCTTATGCCCATTGATAAGTGCAAACAGTTTTGCCCACTGATATCTCGCCTACACATATAATATTTTACATGTATGTAAGTATGTATCTGCATGTATGTATGCATGTATGTCTGTCTGTCTGTCTGTCTGTCTGCATGCATGCATGTATGTATGTATGTATAATTATATATATGCATATGTAGTGTTGAAATATGTCATCATATGTACACCTAACATACAGTATATCCTAAGACTCTGGTGAGACCTCCAAACATCGCCCTGAAAAAAAATCGAGCATCGCCTTCGCCAGGGCCGTGCTCCAGTTCCTGCACCTGGCCGTTTTGGTCCCAGGGATGGAAGCACCAAGCAATATAAGCAATGGAAATGGTGTAAAATCCAAGTAAATTCCACCTAAAATATGAGACATGAATAGAAATGAATGATCAGAATATATCAGAACTGTTTCGCATCTTTTGGACAAATCAATGCGGAGAAATCATATGGCAAGTTGCCATGTTTTGCCGCTTCTCAGAGAGGGCTACTTGTGCAAAAATATGGAACCACAAAAATCACCATATCCCATGACGGATCCATGGTGCTGCTATATATGGTGTGCCATGGATCCCATCATATCCCATCTGAGGCGCCAAGCTAGTCGAAGCCAGTGGCTTGGGTCCAAAGTGCCTAGTGGCCAAAGAAACACAGCTGAGGAGCAATCCAGCTGAGGTCGCAGAATTCGGTCAAATGATGTAAAATGCCACATTTTTTTGTGTAAAAAATGTGAAAAACCTCTAGAATCAGATGAATCATGGTTTCAGGAGGATTTTACGCTAGTCCTGAGTTCATGACCTATGCGCACTGAAGCTTTCCCTAAGCCTCAGGGAAGACAGCTGGAAAGAATTCTGCCAAACAGCCGAGCTTGACAGCTGGCACGAGCCCGGTGGCACCTTATGCACCCCATCTGTGTGCCAGACTGTCATCCTTCACCAGGTTAGCATTCATCACCTGCACGGTAGCCGCAAGGGGCTCTATCACTAAGTATCAATAAGTCACTACACAGTGTCCGAGGGTAAGTTGCGGGAGCTGTAGCCAGGCATGGGTGTGCAAACCTGTGAAATAACACATGTCGCATCATGTCTCTACCCAAGTTGATTAATGTATGTGAAGCATGTGCAAATATACATCCGTACGGTTTTTTCACGACCGCATGCAGAGATAGAAGCCTTGCTGGGGATCATGATGATGAATGACTACTGTGGTCCAGCCATGGCCAGCATACAATGCAGTACAGTCCATCCTGCTGCATGAAATGGCATTCTACGCCCTGCGACTTTGACCTTCCTATTACATAATCGTAAATGCACACATGTTTGTAAAACATATGCCTGTTATTGGCACCTCCAGTTCCAGCATGGCGTCCTCGTCGCTCACTGAGAAGGTGAAGAGATTGCCATCCTTCGAGGGTCACGGCCATTGCTTTTGAAAATGGGATAGAAACGGATAGAAATAATCCACAGACATGCATACATATTAATAAATAAATAAGTATATATATATATGTGTATATATATATACATGTATATATGTACACCTATATACACATATATACACATATACATAATATATAGATAGATAGATAGATAGATAGATAGATAGATAGATAGATAGATATTGACATCGATAGGCAGGTACTAGTAGGTAGATAAATAGATAGATACGTGAATCAACATAAATCGGATCAATCAACATCATCAACAAATATGAATATAAATATAAACAAATGTAAAGATATATGATCTGGTTGTTGGTTTCAACCCCTCTTTAAAAAAATGTTAGTCAGTTGGGGTTATTATTCCTATATATTATGGAAAAATAAAAAATCAAAATAAAAAAAAAACACCAACCAGTATATGATATATGAATAGGATCCAGGGCAGTCTTCTGGTGAAACTGCCCAACGGATCTCCCACCGGGTCAATTACCATCACGTTGGCATGGCAGACCCAATCCTTCCAGTCGGGGTTCAAATCGTTGTCGATGGTCGGGGTCCTGTACGGCCGCAATGGAACTTTTGTTGTTGATACCCTCTGGTAAACTAACATAACTATGGAAAATCACCATTTTTCATGGGAAAATCCACTATAAATGGTAATTTTCAATAGCTATGTTAGTTTACCAGAGGGTATTTTGTTCAAATTTCTCATCCCTTCCCTCGACGATCGGCGATTGGCGATCGGCGATCGGCCTCCTCTGTAGGTCACCCACCTTCACGATGACATAGGGATCCGACCTGGAGGGAGTCCACCACCAAAAAAAGGACAGAAACACATCCGCCAAAATGAGGACATAACTGGTGTGTAAGTCTATCGATCTATCCGTCCATCCAACTTTGCACATTTTGCACCATATGACTTATGACCGACAATATAATTTGCCTGTCGCCAGATTGGAGGCCTCCCAAAAATATGCCCATTTGAAAACTAGTGGGTAAGCTTGGTGCCTATGTTTGCTGGACACACCCATATGATGGTATTGACAGCCAGTGGTGCCTTCATAGCTTATGGTAGTTGGAGGGGCTGCCATCCAAAAGGGCATCTTGGCCCAAGGATGGCATCGATTTCCCCGAAAAAAAACACGTCGTTTTCGGGCCATCAATGATTGACTGAAGGAAATCGGTCAGGAAACAGCAGGAAAACATGACTTTAAAATCCTCAAAAAGGGTGTTCCTGTTCCAGCAGTTGTTCACACTTTTTCCCTTTAACCAAACCTGGAATGTTAACATCACAACACATCCAGCCGGCTCCAAATATCTTTTCCGTTGGAGGGTCCAACCGTCAGGATGGACATGAAGAATGGTCACGTGGCACAAGCCACTGAAGCACACTGAAGCACCAAGACCGATCCTTTCCCGCGATTGCGCGGGGTCAGTCAAGGCAACTGCACCCCCCGGGCAGAGCCTCGGGGTTCGTCAAAAAAACACCCGCTGCCGCGGATTGATGCGCGGGCAGCGGAAAGAAGTGCATTTACTGAGTTTTCGAGGAGCACAACAGGCAGCCTCTTTTCAAATGAATTTAAGCTCGTACGTTCCTTAGGCAGGGCGAGATTGGCGAGATTGGCGGGAACCAGATTGATCCAATCATCAGGATCCTCACAGCAAAATAGGATGGAACTTGATGAAACCGAAGCGTGTTGAAATCAACGGGGAAAATCATCTTCCAAGCTTCTTTCTTGGTGGTTGCATGTCATGTTTGAGGGGGTTACCCTGCAGTAATCCAACTTGACAGTTAAAAATAGTATCTCTAAAATTGTGACTTGCGAACCACCCATAGTGGATTCTCTGAGTAAACAAATATGACAATGCAGAACCCCCATTCAACAGGACGTTCTCTCTCCTAGTTTTGTTGTGGCTATTCACACGATGTGGGTCTGTCGCAACCCTACCCAACATGGCCATAAACGGGTATAAATCATCCCCAAACGATAGGTTTATGATTGGCTTTACCATATGGTTTACCACATAAAGGCTCAAATCCTCCAATATGGACAAAAAATTACATAGAAAATCATAGAAACAGAATTTCAGAAAGGTTTCTATAAATCATAATAAATCCCTACCTCTGGTTGGGTACCACATGTTTTTTCCTGTTGAAATCCCCGGGGATCCACAGGCGGCCAGGCCGGGCCCCAGTGGCACTGCTTGGTCAACCTTCTCGGACTCGGCTTCGCCTTCCATGGGGCTGTCGCGGCTTTCGCCTTCGGTCAAGCGTTGTCTGAGAACCACCACCTCGTTCTCCTGGGGGCAAGCTATGCAGATTATGCAGCTAGGGACGTAGTTTCAACATGTAAATTTAACATGTTTCAACCACATAGATAAATAACCATGGTAAGTGATGGTAAGTGATGGTAAGTGATGGTAAGTGATGGTAAGTGCCAATAAAGATGGTGATGTCAGTATATGTCAGTGATGTCACACTTGGGGGGGGGTATAATGAGTTTGATCCAGAAGCAGCCGTTTGTGGTTCCCGGCTTGGCATTTGGGAAAGGGCTCAAGTTGGAATCCATCGTGTGGCTTGATCCTGGGGACACTGCTGACCCAAATCCTATTGGTGGCGATGTATCCCACATTCTCCCACTACTATAGTACCCCATATCCTCAAAAAGGGATGGTTTTATCCCCCATTTTGTTGGTTAAAGCATGTTAAACCCACATGCTTCCCTAATCGGATCTATATGATCTATTGTACCACATCCCTATCGTACCATATTTCATGGCTAAACCATGTTAAACGTGATTAAACCATGAGTTGTTGATTGGTTTTTGAGATCACCGATGGTCAACCACTCCACCGTTCCATCATGTTCCATCACCCCCTCTCCTCATCCATGTCGCAAATGATGCACTCGCCCTCCACCGTCGGCTCATGGAGGAAGGCCTCCGCTAACTTGTCATCCAGGAGCCTCATGATGGCCCGTCGCAAGGGTCGAGCTCCGTAGACCGGATCGTATCCTGCGCGACGATTTTTGGGTGGACGGATGAATCCCTTGGTTCTCGGGGGAATTTCAGGAGGAAATGTTGGGCTTACTGGCTTACTAAGAAAGATGTCAATAGTTTCCTTGTCAATGAACCATCATTTCTCCTTCAAACGCCTTTCGAGTGTTTGGGGTTCGTTTTGAAACTGCCACACTGCCTGGCGGCTGTCGATTGTAAGGTGCATGACTAGAGATTCTAGTGGTTGTGTTACGAAGGGGAGGTATGAGAGAGGGTCAGATGCACCGTCCCTCACGATTTAAGTAATGGGTCGGAAAAAAGATGCTATAATTGTAAGCCTCACCTTGCCTCAATCACGTCCATTTTTGTTGTTCGTGGAGAAAATCGATGAAAAAATCCTGGATGAAATCACGATGAAGTTCATGGGATTCTTCACCAGCCATCACCAGCCACCGGACCACCAGGCCATCCTTCGTCCACCACCTTGGTCTTGAAGCGGTCAGTGAGCGACAAGGTGATTCCCCTCTCCTGACCTGGGCCCGGCTTAGGCGCCGCTGGGCTGGGTGTATTTAAGCTATAGATATGTCACTGATATGGCATATGGTATGGCTGATATATAAATATGTATACATACATATAATATATATAACTATAATAACTATAGCTATAGCTATAACGATAATTATATACATTATATAAGCATAATCAATTATATATTGATATATGTACATACATACATGTCCTATTCTAGAACAAAATGCTTATGAACGGTGCCGAACCCCGGAAACCCCAAGAATCTGCTTTTCAGATCATTTTAGCTTTCCTCTGGGATCCCCTGCATCGCTTGAAGGTCTTTCTGAATTCAAGCTCAGCGATCTCACGGACCTCTTGCTTGTTCAGAGACTTGAAGACCTCGATTCAGCACCAAAGAAGGGATTCGATGAGGATTTGAGCATCAAAAATAAAAAACCCTGGTCTTCACTGAAAATAGCTGGTACTGAAGGGGATGCACGTTTTTTTATTGTTTTCTCATAGTAAAAGATCAAACATTGATGCAAGTTCGAGTGAGTTCCAGCCAATTCAGAATCCTTGCGGATTTCATCTCCTGATCAGGAACCGAAACCTGTGCCAACCACATGCGGATGTTTCGGAAAATTGAGGTACCCATGTGTAAAGTATAATAAACCATCCCCCAGTCATCACCATTTTTATAGGTGGTATATAATGTATATATAAAACATTCCCAGTCATGGGTGGTTTATTATTGCTTCACCCACATTAATCATGGTAATATAGATATACTATAACACCATATATATAATATTGTATATTATATAACCATAGATAATACCATGAGGTAATATAGATATACGATAAATAGTACATGATAATACTATAGATAATACTATAGATCATGGCTTGTTGATGGCATTGTTTGACCCGGTAATCACCCCTCATCACCGTTGCTTTCGGCCAGGGGCGATGATCTCATCCAAACGGTTGAGGAACTCGGGCCGGAAGAAGCCTGCGTTGCGGAGCCGCGAGAAAAGGTCGGCTTGAAGGTCATGAAAACATGGGAAAACATGGGAAAACATGGGAAAACATGGGAAAACATTACGAAAAAAAACGTGTTTGAGGTGTATCTGTTTCTCTATAGATTATGCTAGCCGATCGTTGATCCTCTCAGACTCCAAGATGCATTTCTCATACCCTCTGGTAAACTGTCCCATAACTATGGAAAATCTCCATTTTTCATGGGAAAATCCACTATAAATGGCCATTAATAGTGGATTTTCCCATTAAAAATGGTGATTTTCCACAGCTTTTTGTATGTTTACCAGGCCGGGTATTTCTCACTGATCTTTCCAGAGTTCCGCCTTTCAGCTGGTCATGCACCTTGGACTTCAGCCTGAGCTCAGCCGAAGGTCCACGGAGAACAAGTACTAAAGGGGGCCCCTCGTGGGGCTACAATATGTTGCTACATATATATAGAACTGTATTGACACACATAGTGTATATGTATATATTATATATATGTGTGTCTGTGTGTGTGTCTAATTGTGACTACTAATATGTATGTTTGTATGATTTTGTATGGTTGAGAGTGTGTGACAGTGCGTGACAGTGTGTGTGTGTGTGTCTGTCTGTCTTTGTGAAATAAATACTGTAGACAAACAACGCATCATATATTGGACACGCCGGTGTGCAAATGCAAGAAAACCGTAGCGTGTCTGCATGGAGTGCAATGCACTGTGATGATTGTGATGTACTCATGATTAAGACAATCTAGTGACATCTAGTGTAACCCAGCACTGTGCACATGTTTGAGTCGTTTGAGCATACAGGCACAGTATGGCACAGTTACATATGCCTTCAGGATCACAGACTTCAATTCGGTGGCGATTCACCACGTGAAACTGGGGCAAGTGGATTCCCAACGATTCCCCAAGTCGAGAGACCGTTGGTACATGGACACGTTGGGATCATCGGCACCATCGGCATCAAAGCCCAAGCCCTGTCCGATCAGCGTCTTCTCAATCTCCTGAATTGGCAAACGGGCCTTGAACATGGAACATTTGCCCAAGAGGCTTGGTCAAAAATCGTGCTTTGTACCGTGCCATGCGTGCATATGCAATATGTACATATATATATATATACACAGTATATGTGTGTATGTATGTATATGTATATATGTATATGTATATATGTATATGTATATATGTATGTGTGATTGTGTGTGCGTTTGTAAATATAAACATGCGTATATTTTATATGTGTGTACGTATATGCATATATATATATATACATACATGCATATGCACAAGTGTCCATCTATCTGTATATCTCATTATATCTCACTATATCTCTATATATGTATCTCTGTCTAATCTATCTTTCCAAAATCAAATGTCGCGGCGTCTTTGTAGCAATTCATAGCCCCAGCCCAGCAGGAGATGCCAGGGCTCCTTGGCTCCGCAGTTGGAGGTCAGAATGATCAAAGTGTTCTTGAAGGAAACCTCAGCTGTCGCTCCCTGCTGATCGATCTGAAGTTGCTTAAGATCATGCAAAAGGATACAAAAGGCATAACTGTATATAACTGTCAGATCTTAGTTCCATATAGTTTCATATAGTTTCATCATATCTTAAATCGTTGTGTTACCCGTTTTCTTTTCTCCTTCTGCTGCATGTTCACCTTCTTTCGTGTCCTTCTTGATCGTCCCAACGCACAAAAGTTCCAGGCCACCGTACCATTTTTAACTCTGAAACGAATCCCGTCCACCGACACACGAAAGAAGGAATGGATGGATTTACCCTCTGGTAAATTAACATAGACCCTGGCAGTTGTCGGGGTTGGAAGACTAGTTTCCATTAAAAATTGGTGATTTTCAGGGTCTATGTTAATTTACCAGAGGGTAAGAGTAACCATCAGTGACCATCAGTACCTGTAACATACTGTAACCCCGTCCTCCTCATCTGTTCACCGTAAGATCCACATCCAACCGATCCGGCTGCCGATCCTTAACCTCCCAAAACGGGCAACGATGCGGCCCTTGGAGTCTGTAAGATGTCCATCCTCCAGGACTTGCAACCTGGGCGTGCTGAAGATGTGTTGGAAAAAAAAAACGCGATTTTTGTGGATTTTAGTGGGATGTCCATCCATATCCATGTGTATATATATATATATATGTGTGTGTGTATTTATGCTATCTTATTATATCATATCCATATATAATATATCACATTATATGCATATAATATATCATAATATATTAATATATCCATGTCATTCCCAAATAATTCATATCTCAACCCCTTGGCCGATTGGCATGGGATGTTGTTTATTTTGCATCTGTTTCATTCTTGTTTGGGGTTTGTCATAAGTTTATACAAAATACCCCCTTGACAACTCTGGTTTCGTATCGGATCAAATTGGATCTACGCATTTTCTGGTCCCGCTTGATGGGCCATAGAGGTTCGACAATCCAGTGCTGCATCATGCTGCATCCATACTGATTCCAGGAGATCTCATGGGAGACCCCCATCAGTCGACAACCGAGGCACATGAGGTTGAAGACGTCAGGGTGTGCCTTTTCCACTTCATCGAAGAGGACCAAGCTGTAGGGTTTCCTTCGAACCTCGGGACAGATTGCAACACATGAGTGGTTGTTGGATGCACTCCTGCAATCTCCTGCAAAGATCATTGGTTGTTTCTTTGGTTTCCCAGTTGCCCCGCGAGGATTCCACACATGGCTATCATCTTCCCAGAGCATTCGAGCCCACCAGTGCCACAAATATGAGCACACCATGACCGTCCGCTGTTCTGTGCGGAAGCATCCTGCAGCCCGACCTGCCCCAAGCATGTTAACCATGTTATCTGAAATGAAAAGGCCCACACGCACACACACACACAAACAAACAAACAAACAAGCAAACAAACAAACAAACAAACAAACAAACTAACTAACTAACTAACTAACTAAACGTTCTACATATACCCAAAAAATCTCATCTTTTCGGCCCCTTCCAGCCATCATTTCTTTTTTGGTCTCTAACCGTCTGCAGCCTGGAAACTGGGTCCGTCAGCTGACTCTCCTCATCGTAGCCGACGTAGCCAGGAGGGCTGCCAATCAACTTGGCCACCGTGTGCCTGAGGAAACGAGTCGACGCATGGGCTGCGGATGGCTCGCTTGGAGAAACGTGGTGAGGGCATCAAACAATAGAAACATCACGAAACGTCACGAACTGTCAGGATATTCCAAATTGATCCAGTGGTCCAATGTCAAGATCCAAGTGCCAACTGCAAGAAGTAGGTCCAATGACCGAAAAAGACTGAAAGCCGGCCAATCTCCAGCAGCCCCGACAAATCTCATGGTTTATTAGCGTGTTCCCGATTCAAATGGACACATATTGGAGTAAATCTCACCCACGCTTGGAGATACATATTATATCAGTTCGGTATATATAGTTGATTTTCTTGGTCCCAATTATGATCGAGTTCAATCCCATCCATTCTTGGAGAAGCCAACTGGAGCTCATTCCTAGGTGCTTTTCCATGAATTCACTCATATCCAATCGGATCATGGCATCTTCCATGCCAAAATAGGCTTCAGCCAAGGCTTTGCAGAGTTCCGTCTTGCCAACACCTGGCAGGCACTGAGGTGAGCTGAGTCAGATTCCCGGGAAAGAAAAATGGTTCAGGTTTGAAAGGAACAACGCGCTGAAAGATGAATCTATAATGATCAATTTACATTTGCTATACTGCTGCCTAAGTTCCAATGATATATGTTTGATGATGAAATAGAAAGATGAAATCCTGATGCAAGGGAAATCCCGAGTTTCTTGAATCATCTGGCCATATCTGACGCATCTGTAATAATTACACTACTGAAGCAGTTCCGAGTGTGATGCAATCCTCCCCCTACCCCAACAAACCCAGTGAAATCTTCCATGTTGGCCAGTGAAGTCACCCAACCATGTGATCCCGAATCCCATATATCCATCAAACTATACCATCATATAACCCGTCACCACAGCCGCAACATAAGAGAATATACATGAATATACAATGACATGCAGTCGCCCACAGTAAATCCTCCATCTATATATCACCATATCTATAATGAATGTCAACTCCAGACTGATAAACTCTGATTAGGTGGTTGGTTACCCCCAACATAGTTTTCCAAATTGCTATCAAAAATGGATAACAATGGTAACCCCCTGGCCCAATTAATAGACAACAGGGGGCCTATGAAAATCCACTAACATCAGCTTACCCGGAGGTGAGCTGACACATCACCCGGAAAAACGTAACATCGAACATGATTGACAATCTAACATAATTCTAGATTAAATAGATGGTTAATGATTAATCATAGGTTATGTTAAATGATTAATCATAGGCTAGATTATTAATCATAGTTTAAATCATAAATCATCTAACATACCTTCGGATCTCATTAAACATGGCTTGCCGAAGAATCCCCGATTTAATTCGATGATACCTCCATGGCTTGCTCAGGGATTCCCAACCATGTTCTATTTGTTTATGTATGCATGCATCTGTGTCCTTATTTATGTATCTATTCTATTCTATGTTAATTCATGTCATATTCATTCAAACCATATATCTAATTCATTCATCTTAGCATATCCACGAATCTCCATATGACATATATACATATACATATATATATATACATATATATATATATATACATATACATATATATATATATATATGCACATATACATATACATATATATATATATATGTACATACATATGCATACACATAGACATAGACATAGACATTTACATATATACACATATATACATATATACATATATACATATATACATAGATACATAGATACATAGATACATAGATGCATAGATACATAGATACATATATACATATATATACATATTTACATACATACATACATACATACATCCATCCATCCATCCATCCATGCATGCATGCATGCATGCATACACATATACATATACACATATACACATATACACATATATACATATATACATATATACATATATACATATATACATATATACATATATACATATATACATATATACATATATACATACATACATACATACATCATACATCATACATACATACATACCTACATACATACATACATACTAATACATACATACATACACATACATACAACATACATACATACATACATACATACTCATACATACATACATACATACATACATACATACATACATACATACATACATACATACATACATACATACATACATACATACATACATACATACATACATCATTACATTACATTACATTACATTACATTACATACATACATACATACATACATACATACATACACACATACATACATACATACATACATACATACATACATTACACATATACATATACATATACATATACACATACACTACATACATACATACATACATACATACATACATACATACATACATACATACATACACACACACATACATACATACATACATACATACATACATACATTACACATATACATATACATATACATATACACATACACATATATACATATATACATACATACATATATACATATATACATATATACATATATACATATATACATATATACATATATACATATATACATATATACATATATACATATATACCTATATACACATACATATATACACACATATATATATATATACATATACATATATACATATAAATATACATATATATATATACACATACATATACATATACACATACACATACATATGCAAATACATTTGCATAAACACACACATATACATACATATACATATGTTCCCCAGGAGTTTCCCCGAAAAAGTCCGAAAAACCTTCCCGCCTGTGGGACCGCAGAAGATGAAGGACGCAATGGGCCGCTTGGGATTCTGCAGCCCCGCACGTGCACGTCGCACCGCCTTCGCGATGGCCACCACAGCCTCCTCTTGCCCGATGACCCGGTTGTGCAGGGTATCCTGGCGATCAAAATGAGCCGAAAAAAAGGGATTTGACAAATGTGCGGGGTATTTATATATATATATATGGTGTTGTAGTATATCTATATTACCATGATTAATGTGGGTAAAACAATGTCATAACCACCCATGACTGGGAATGGTAAACATACCACCTATAAAATGGTGGTGACTGGGGGATGGTTTATGATTGTTTTACCCACATTATTCAAAATGGGCCAAAAGTTGAGATTTATATAACTACCACAAATTGAGATTTAACTATCAAAAAATGAGAAAATTATTTAAAATTAGGATTGCACTACCAACATGGGAGGTTAATAGATGTTCAAGCATCAGGAATGGTGGATAATGCGTGTTTCCCCAATCAAGGGAGCAGGTAATTGGTGAAATGTATACTGCATGGGTTAATACTTCATACTGATTACTGTAGGGTACATTAACATCGAGCCGCTCAACTATGTGACAATCATTGATTGAATTGTACTGTCAACCCAGGGTGAATAAGTTCCACCAGTTTACTACAGGGGATGCCAATTTCAATGGTAGTTTATCAATCGTCTGGGGGTAACCGCCCGAATCAACCGACAGATTTTATTGATTCGGGGTTGACATGAACGATCATCTATATTGACCTCAGAAAAGAAACAAGTTGACCTTCAGCATGTTGCAACAAACAAGGTTACCGACGAAGTTTTCTCCTTTCCAGGATTTCAACTTGTTTCCGACCTCCAGATGAACCAGACGCACGGACTCATCGGCCGAGACCTTTTCGACTGGCACCTGCGAAGGATTTGGGACTGGCACCAACTCTGCTTCTGGGAGTAGCCTTGATATCAAAATCTGCAGGTAATTGGCTCCCAAAGTGGGTATAGAATGATATAGATGGATGGATAGATAGATAGGTTGGTAGGTAGGTAGGTAGGTAGGTAGATTAGGTAGATTAGATAGATTAGATAGATTAGATAGAGTAGATAGAGTAGATAGATTAGATAGATTACGATAAGATAGATAAGATAGATTAGATAGATCAGATAGATTAGATAGATTAGATAGATTACGATTAGATTACGATTAGATTACGATAAGATAGATAAGAATGATAAGATAGATAAGAAAGAAAGAAAGAAAGTAAGAAAGTAACAAAGAAAGATAGATAGATAGACTAGACTAGATTAGATCAGATCAGATCCGATCAGATCAAATTAGATTAGATTAGAATAGATTGAGATTAGATTAGAATAGATTAGATTAAGATAGATAGAGATAGATAGGTAGATAGATAGATAGATTGATTGATTAATTGGTTGATTGATTGATAGATTGATAGATTGATAGATTGATAGATTGATAGATAGATAGGTAGGTAGGTAGATAGATAGGTAGATAGGTAGATAGGTAGATAGATAGATATATAGATAGATAGAGTGATAGACAGACAGACAGACAGACGGACGGACGGACGGACGGACAGACAGACAGACAGACAGATAGATAGATAGATAGATTCAGATCCAATCTTTGCATTCCACGAGGAGTTTTACATCTTTTGGGGGAAGGGATGATGCAAGGAGGCTGAAATGTTTGATCTTTCAATCCACCTACAAAATCAATCTAGAAGAGATCAGAAGAGCTTGTCTCATGTCTCCCTGTTCCAATATGTGCCATCCCTTCATCCCTTAGACCCTTGGATCACATCCCGCCTTGGTCCAGGCAGAAACCACAGCGGCCACGTCGTTCTCCGTCACCGTGGGCTTGGACAGTGCCTCCTCCTTGTCTTCCTCGCTGAGCGCTGGCAGTTCCACCACCTCGGACACCTTGGCCCGGAAAGGTGACTCAGATGTTGGGAGACGGCATTTAATGGTATTCAAGTATTCAATCAATGGGAATTCCAGGATCCTAAAATGGAGGTACTGTACCATTTAAGACCATATTTTGTTGGTATATTACCCTTACATAGCCCTTACATAGGCCTTATAATTATATGGTAGGAACCTCCAATTTAGGTTCCTGAAATGGCCATTGATTCAATGGGATTTATTTCATGATCTAATGGGATTTCATAGTGATTCAATGGGATATCACTGGGATATACAAAAGATATGTGTTTTTTTTCCATCAATGGTGGGATCCCCAGCTGGATGAGGGGGGTAGGCCTATTTCAGGAAACATCCATATATGTACCGTATGTACCAAACATTCGGAAACCATAGAGCCGGTGTGTAATTGACAGAAACTGAGAGTTTGGGAAGAGTTTCAAGTTGGACTGGGATGGTTGGGCGAAGTCATAAGTTTTTTTGATCATGGGCCCATGGGCCGCCAGCTTAAGACCTGGTGGCCATGAAGGTCCATCAAGGTCCCCCTTTGATTTTGGGATTTTGGAAGGGACCTACCCGCCTACCCTCTGGTAAACTAATATAGCTATTTATAGTGGATTTACCCATTAATAGCATGGTGAATTTCCATAGTTATGTGAAAGTTTACCAGAGGGTACAAGGCCTGAGCGCCAAGGGTCGGCTTTTCCAGCATCCTTTGCATCCTCCTGTGGCTAGGGTGGCCCCGAGGCTACGACAAGATCTTGGCATAGCAAAGATGATCACGATCATCCCCACACCGGCACATCGATTTATGGAAAGTCTATGTTTCAATTTAGCTTTACTAGTTATACCATTTTATAATCAAACCAGGCCATGGATCATTCTCATCTTTCGGTTGGGAAAATGAAATTCAGCTGACCTAACCTATAGATTGACATCAATGAGAGCTTCTCCATCAAGTCAATGTTAGATGATCAGAGGGTTTCGGGGTGCCGTTCCACTTCATGCGTTGGTCTATGGATGTCTACGGCCAGAATTCTAGGGGTTGTAGCCAACCCTATGGGGCTTATAACCACAGTTTGCCCATTTATAAGCCAACTTGCAACCCCCCAAGTCCCCATTTCACGGCCGGCTTCGGATGATCCTCCGAGATGGACTCCGGTAGAACCTCCGGGGAGGTGCCTCTCTTCATGAATTGGTACAGCTGGCACTGCAACTCATCTTCCTAGCTGGAAGCGTCACAGATTTCTGGAAAAGGCTGGGGCATACCATTTTTTATACCATGACCCATGACCCTGTAATCAAACATGGCTTGCTAAAGAATCTCCCATTGCTGTCAATGAATGTCCGTGTCCTTTTGAATGACCACTTTTAAGGGATTTCCCGGGGAGCCATGCTTGGATACCTGGGAGTAGTGGGATTTACCATGATTTTTTTATGGGAATGTTGAGAGGAAAAGGCAACATGATGATAAAGCACCGCATTCTCATGGCTTCCCATACCGTTCCCACAAAAGAAACACAAACTTGGGCACCCCCAGAAATGCAATAAATGATAATTTAATAAATGGATGCACCCTCCAGTAAACTAAACTAACTATGGAATATGGACCATTTGGAGATGATTTACCTACTAAAATTACATGGTGATTTTCCATAGCAATGTTAAATTACCAAAGGGTAAATGGCAGAACTGAGAGGACCTCTGATGATCCAAGACTTGGGGCTTATTCCTGGTGTTGGTTCCAGCGGGGATCTGGTTGCACCATAGTTTCTACCTGAGCCATCTGAAATTCGTCATTTGTATCCCCTTGTTTCCCTACCATTCTCAATTCTCATGAGCGTTTCGAGACATGTTCCTAGGATTGTTGTTACCATCATCAAATTGTGTGCGCGGTAATATCCCATGAAAATCCTGGCAGTTCAGGGTCAACCCCTATGTTTGGCTCCCCCGGACCGCTGAACAGAGACCGCACCTTCAGCTTGAGCTCGGCAGCTTTCTTGAAATCCTGGCCGCACCAAAACGGACCTTTGAGATCAGTCCCTACTCTTCCTGGCACAAAAGCTTAATCCTGGAGTTCCAACAACTGGTTTTAATTATATATGTCCTCAACTACTTACATATACCTGCTTATATTGGATATCCTGAACTATCGAATCTAATCTAGTCAAGCATGTAAATCCATCCAAATCATCCAGCAAAATCCCCCCTCAAAATCCATTCAATAAATCCATTCAACAAAATCCATCAGTAAATCCATCCAACAAAGTGTGTAGAATAGTTTTTTTTTTTGCCTCGGGTTTTGGATGTCTTTTTGGCTTTCCTTCCTGGCACCATTTGCCTTGTATTTGCAACAGTTGGGAACTAAACCTGTAATTGTTGCATCGTATTTGCTACATTTTGACATGGTCACTTTGCATTTTGATGGTATTTGCTACATTTGGCAATGTTTGCCTTCCATTTTGCATGGTATTTGCCACATTTTGGCACTTCAACCTCTCATTTGCATGGTGTTTGCTATATTTTGGTTCTTCAAACGTTCATGTGGGTTCCTTGAGGGTTCTTTAGGCTTTCATGTACGGTTTCATTTAGGCTTTCATTTAGGGTTTCATTTAGGTCTTTATTTAGGGTTTCATTTAGAGTTTCATTTAGGGTTTCATTTTTCTTTAGGGTTTCAAGTTAGGGTTTCAAGTTAGGGTTTCATTTAGGGTTTCATTTATCTTTAGGGTTTCATTGGGGGTTTCAGTTAAGGTTTCATTTCGGTTTTCTTTCAGTGTCGTTTAGGGTTTCTTTGGGATGTCATTTAGGGTGTAGATTAAAGTTTCTTTAGGGTTTCATTTATGGTTTCCTGAGGGTTAATTTATGGTTTCTTTAGGGTTTCTTATCAGGATTTCTTATCAGGATTTCTTTGGGTTTCACCTAGGGTCTTTTTAGGTTTTGATTTGGGATACAAACAAGAAAGAATGAAGCAAAAGAAAATAAAAAACAAAGAAACAGTAAAGACAGGAAGCGAAGAAGCAGAGGAGCAGGAAGTAGAGCAGCAAAAACACATGACTAAAGAAAAGAGAACGTAGAATAGTAGAAGTAGAAAGGCACAGAAGCACAAAAGCAGAGAAGCATGGAAAACAGAGAAGCAATAAAGCAAAAAGCAGAAAAGCAGAGAAGCAGAAAAGCAGAGAAGCAGAAAAGCAGAGAAGCACGAAAAGCAGAGAAGCACGAAAAGCAGAGAAGCAGGGAAGCAGGGAAAGCAAAGAAGCAGAGAAGCAGAAAAGCAGACAGGCAAAGAAGCAGAAAAGCAGAGAAGCAAGAAAAGCAGAGAAGCAGAAAATCAGAGAAGCAGGAAAGCATAGAACCAGGAACCCCCCCAAAAAAAAAACAAAACCTGCCGCAAACAAAACACAAAAAAAACGAAAATAAATAGCTCTTCCCCCCATCCGCAGCGTCGCCTGCATCCGCACGGCCACCTCCTTCTGCGCCTCGACGTCGCGAAGCTCCTGACGCAGATCAAAGGCGTCCTCCGGGACCGTGGCCAACTGCCTGCCAGGGGAGGGTCACCAGCTAGAAAACTAAGGCACACATATAGGAAATAATCATGGAAAACATGGGGAAAATGTTAAATCTATGGGAAGATGAAGATTTAAAGATGATTTATAACATGTTATAACTACCAAATATGGAGATTGATGTGGATTGATAGGTGATTTGTCACTGAGGCTGGAAAACAGAGATTCATAGGTGCCCCAGTTCGGAATCGCTAAGTTGGCAAACGTAGCTCCAATGACTTGCCTAGAACTGATGGGTTGCATGGGGTTATGAGCCAACTTATAGCTTGGGGACACCACCTGCATCGTTCGATATGTTTCTGCCCATCTATAGCTACTTGGTGCTAGTTTACGGGAACAGAACAAATAAATGTACATGAATTGGATTTAGTATGGTTTAGTGCTTTTTAATGCTTTTTATCTCAGAGGTGCTCTCATCATGGGTCGTGACAAGCTGCATTTAACAAGTCGGTTTAATCCTGTTTAATACATGTTAATACCATCAAGAAGCAAACCAAGCATGATTGGATTGGTTTAAGGGAAAATCTACAGGAAACCATAGATTTTCCCATTAAATATGGGGCTTTCCGGTTAAAATTTTCCCTTAAACCAATCCATTGAAACCAGGGTGTTTCTAAACATATTCCAAGCCGATATGGGTAACCCATGGCACCTCAGATCGATCCCAAGACTTGGATTCCGACCAGATCCGAGCTGAATCCTCATGGATCATCAGTTTCTATGACCCAAAAACCATAGCTATGCAAGAAATAACCAGAAGGTATCATAATCCCAAGGTGATGTTTTAATATTATATCATCAGATTATCATCAGTGATCACCAAATTCACCAATGGTCCAATGGTGATTAAAAATCCTTTCCAGTTCTTCCCAGCTCCCGGCCTCAACTGCACGCGCGCGCCCGTCTCATCCAGAAGGTCAATGGCCTTGTCCGGCAGGTAGCGGTCCTGATGGACCCAGCCACTTGTCGTGATGCCAAGAAATGGAGATCCTTTAGCACCTTAGGGAGGGAAACAAAAGGTAGAAAAGTGATATCTTTTCGACCATCTCTAAATCTAAGCCCTGGTTCACGTTTCGTGATCTATTCATGTTGGGGGCACATCATCCCAGTCCCCAAACCATGATCGATTCCAAAAAATACGGGTTCCCAAAAATGGTTTTTCCCCAAGATTTTGTTTTACCAGACTTTCAATTGGGGCATCAGCGGGAAGGAATGATAGTCAGTGGTATAACCTCCAGTACCCTCTGGTAAACTAACATAGCTATGGAAAATCACCATTTTTCATGGGAAAATCCACTATAACTGGCCATTTTCAATAGCTATTTTGACATAACCAGAGGGTAGATCTCACCTTTCGGAAGGTGAATCCCATACCTCCCAACTGCGCTCGTGAAGTCGATCCCCTGGCCGGTCCTGGATGTATTGCGAAGCAAACTTCACGCAGGACTGCAGCGCTTCCTCCGAGTATCGAATTCGGTGGTGGGCCTGGCGAAAACCGAAAACATGGACCATCCGGAACTCACCTCTTAGGGAAAATCTGTAGGTTTTGACATCAAAATTACTATGTAAAATGTCTGTAAATGTCAGATTCACTGGCCGAAAAATCCGTGGCGTACTGTAGCCATCCTTCGTCCATCCTCTCCGGGATGCTCGTGGCCTCATACTTTCGAGCGATGCCGCGCAGGATCTGCACGGCCTCCTCGTTGGTGGGCTCCGGAACGGAGACCGGCTGGAAGCGCCGCTCCAGCGCCTGGGGGTGTTCGGGGATCACAAAGGCGGATCCTGAAAAATGGGCAGATGGCATATTCATGGGGAGATCATAGGAATATGTATATGTATACATATACATATAATTACATATATATATATACATATATATATATATATATATATGTATGTATAATTAACTAACCATATACTAATCATTAATAGTAGGAAATAATAGGGATATATAACCATATAATCATATTTAACCAACAATTAAAATGAGATGGGTCTGTCTGGGAAGTGGTGGATACCAGGATACCCCTTAAACCATTGGATTTGGAAGTACCCTATTTTCAGAAAACCCGCACCCACAACAGGTTGCCGATTTGTTGTCGAACCAACTAGCATACCTGTCGGGGACCAACCCCAATCATTGTCGGTGATCCCAACTTATTTAATCATTTATAGTTATGATCTCATTATTCATTTTTGGATTTAATATATGATTTAATGTCTCTTAGGAATATGTGCTAACCGTTGAACCCCAATAATAGATAGGATCACATGATCACCCATTTATGGGTAAATATGTGTGGATGCTCAGCATGGCATTGGGTCTGGCCTTGTCCTTCTCCACATACTTGCGGTACTCCTCCACGGTCGTAGCACCTGAAGAGCACCAGCAAATGGCCAAAACCAAAGGTCGCAGTGCCGGAGTACACTAGTTACCCTCTGGTTATGTCAAAATAGCTATTGAAAATGGCCAGTTATAGTGGATTTTCCCATTAAAAATTGTGATTTTCCATAGTTATGTTAGTTTACCAGAGGGTAATCACAATTAATCACTCCGTCATGCCATTTCGATCAATCAAATCGAATCGAATCAGATCAAGCAATCAAGCAAGCAAGCAATCAAGCAATCAAGCAATCAAGCAAGCAATCAATCAATCAATCAATCAAGCAAGCAATCAATCAATCAATCAATCTCTCTCTCTCTCTCTCTGACTATTTCCATCTGTTTCACCATGGGACAAAGGAAGAGACACTTTTTTCTACTGTCAAGCTACATCATGATACAATGATACATCCAACATCATCCAACTCCCCCCCGTTCGGCGGCACCGATGATCTGCATATCGCCACGCGCCAGCGCGGGTTTCAAGATGTTAGCCGCATCCATGGCCCCACCGTCGCCACCGCCGCCGGCACCCACCAGGGTGTGGATCTCGTCAATCATCAAAATGATGTTTGGATCGTCACGCACTTCCTGTCCCCGAAGTTAAGAAACCAAAAAAAAAATGCGAAAAAAGAATTTCAGAAAATGGCCACAACATGCCACAAGAAAGAAACACATGTTCTGAGAAGCAAAATCTTCATGGCCCCACAAGAATGGCATCAAGGCTAACTGTCCAGCAACAAATCTGGTCACTGGTTGAGGCACCCGGGCCCATTTTGTCCAAGTCGGTTGGGACGATCATTTTATTGATAGGGTTGAAATGGAAAACTGGTCCAACCAAAAACCACCAATCAGACAAATGCATCATGTTTTCAAAACCAATGATCAACCCAGAAATGGCAGCAAACATGTCTTGGCCTTAGGAAGCCCCCGTCCAAAAGTAGATTTTAGACTTTAGATCTGATGAGTGTGGTTCCAACATGTACCAACCAGCTCAATGTATTTGAGAATTCCCCCAAATACATGGGAGTCTGATCTGGAGATATCTTTGGATAGATTTGGATGAATCAGGGCCAACTGGCCTGAATGATGTTCTTCAAGCGCTCTTCAAACTCTCCACGATACTTTGCACCTGATGCGAAGGTGTAGTATCAGGGAAGGGCGTGACACAAGGACTGGCGCGACTGGCGGCAAGGCCGTCGTTCAACTTGGATTGGATGCGACATACGCAACTCATGCGAATCGCAGTGCGTTCTAGGGAAGCATCCTCTGGTGCACTCCGATGGCAGCCAGTCCCCTTGTCCGATGGTCGGCCTGAAAGAAGGGAACCCATGTCCAATTCGATGATGATCTTGTCAGTCAACATCTCTGGAACATCCTGCCGACATCTCAGTGTCTCCATGTGTCGGCTAAGCACCCTGGAAGGGCACATATAATTAGAATCAGTGAGAACCAATATACAGAGACGAACTGTTTTTCGCTTCATCATCGCTAGGGGAGGATCGAAGTCGGGGCCGGCATCGCACCGTGAATAATATGTGATCCTTTTAGAATGAGGATACCAGAATATCTCAAGTAGGTTAAGATTGAATCTGAAACCCTTCAAGTTCACAACCCCTACCCTTCATGGGGACCCCAACCCCTCGACCCCGCTGTCCCCAGCCACAATGCGCATGGCTAACCCCTCGGCGATGGCTGTCTTACCAACGCCAGGCTCGCCGATGAGCACTGGGTTGTTCCTTGGGGCCCACGTGGCTAATGCCAATCCCAGGATAAACTCTGTTGACTTTACAAGGGTGGTGCCCCTAAAGTAGGTTACGAATTACTGAATTTCGTACCCCTTTTTAATCCTCTGATTGATAAACTGGCGGGGTTATTAAGGTTGCACGGAAAGAAAAGGAGACATGGTGAAATTGCAATTTGATTGAATCCATGAGCGCGAGGCCCCGAAGGGGCCTTATGCCTTTTTTCGACTTTGATGACCATTTCTTAGGCCAAATGGAATGGGCAAATCTGAACAAGGGTGCCACAAAAGTTGGCCATTCTCAGTGTCAAATTCTCGGTCAAGCAAAAATCCCATTTGGAAATCCCAATCTTCCCACAGGATCTTGTTTGGTGGATGTTATCCCCACTACCCTCTGGTAAACTTTCACATAACTATGGAAAATCACCATGCTATTAATGGGTAAATCCACTATACACAAATATCTATTTCTATGGCCATTTTCAATAGCTTTTTGTATGTTTACCAGGCCGGGTATTCCCCACTGCAGAAAAACCCATGGAAAAACCCCTGGGCCATATCACAGGTAATGTCAACCCTGGATTAATAAACCCCAAACGGCTGTTGAATTGGGAAGGTACCATAAAAAAAGTATCAAATCATATAAATCATGACTATTGGGGGAATACCCCCCCAATTAATAAACCATGGTTTATTAATCCGGGGTTCGCAGGTATCGCTGCCAGGCATCTTGGAGCGTCGCGCCAGGATCTGAATGGCTCGGTCGATCTCCTCATCGCGACCCACCAGGGGATCCATCATGCCATCGGCCGCAGCCTGTGTGGCTATCCGCGGCGGCTATCCGCTGAGGAAAGAATGGTGACCCGCGGGAAGACATATAGGATGATATAATTTGATATTATTTTGTATAATTTTATGATATGGGTTTTAAATGGTTTTTAACATGTTAAAAAACTCTGCCAAGATTCGAATAAATTGATGAATTGTGTATTGTTTCTTCACCCGGTGACATCCGGTGACCGCCTGAGTGAGGTTCTTGCCGAATTCATCCAAGGCCTCCACGATTGAAACCGGTCACGGATTTTTTTTTGGGTGCCGGTGGTTGCAATGCGCCATGGCAAAATATCTGCAAAATGGAGATGATCACAGAAAACAGGGTGGAATATAGAGAGAGAGAGAGAGAGGGAGAGAGAGAAATATTCCAAAGCACCAACCAGTAATAACCAGTAATCCCATGCCATCATTGCACATGAGACACCTCGCAAAGACCGCCCAAAACTTCTGAGCTGGTTGCCTGTTTGAATGATTCACAGGTAGCACCATCATGGTTCTGAGCACTTCGCAACCACGGCATGATCAAAGGAAGTCACATCCACCCCTCCACCTTCCATTCCCAGACCGTTATCGAACACCCACCTTGGTGGCGCTTTTCTTCACCAAGCCTGTGGTTTCCTCGGCAGTGCGGCAGTGGATCGCCATTTTCTGCGGCATTTTCCATCTGAAAAATCATCCCAAACAGAAAACATCGCCACTTGAGTCCAGGTGTCCCCAGTCTTTTCGGCTTCTTCTTCCATCCTTTGGATCTCAGCCTTGATCTCCTGAGGCTTCAAAACAGTACCAACATGGCAGAAGCGTCTGAGTTCCACTACGTTTAGACTGGCGGGGAAGTGTATACTGGCATAAGGTTACGATATATGTGATAATCCATTCTAATTCAATACAGTGTTGACAAGAGAATGGACTCCAACGCTAGGCCGCTAGGCCGATCTGAATCCTTGGCTATGCTATCAGGACTACGCCCAACACCGCAAATACCAGGCGGGTGGTGTAAAATCGCTGAATTTGTTGTTAAATGACCAAGTTCTGGCCCCCTGGCCATCATTTACCTATAACAGGTTGGAGCAGCAGCAACACTGTGCTAGCTCGTAATTTGTCTTCCTAAACAGATGTCTATCCCCCATGCTGGGAAAAATGACAGAACATAGTAAGATTTGTCATCGGAAATTCTACAAGACTCAATGCCAAATCTGAATTTGGGGACATATCATCAATATAATAACATGGTATTACTATATTCTGAGATAGCTTGAGGTTGCCCAAGCAATTGTCTATATAACGAGACCAGCCGGATTTTTAGAAAAGTCACGGTAAGTCATCATAGTAACAATCATCAGTGAGTCATCAGCCTAAGAGTGGAAACAACATGTTCAAGCACCAAATTTTTTACAATCAACCTAAGTATATGATGACTATGAAATTCGCAAGTCATCATGTGATCTAGTCCTAAAGTTCCAGATCTAAATGCCAAATATATACAGCATATGTAGGGATATGTTTGTACATATGCATATATGTGTGTATATGTATAATCATGAGTAATCATATATATATTGGCTGAATCCTAATTGCTGTAACAGTAAGCACGAAACAGAGCACGAAAAGGAGCACGGAGGGAGCGAAAAAAAAGCACGAACTAGAGCACGAAAAGTGTCACGGAGGGAGCGAAAAAAAAGCACGAACTAGAGCACGAAAAGTGTCACGGAGGGAGCGAAAAAAAAGCACGAACTAGAGCACGAAAAGTGTCACGGAGGGAGCGAAAAAAAAAGCACGAACTAAAGCACGAAAAGTGTCACGGAGGGAGCGAAAAAAAAGCACGAACTAGAGCACGAAAAGTGTCACGGAGGGAGCGAAAAAAAAAAGCACGAACTAGAGCACGAAAAGTGTCACGGAGGGAGCGAAAAAAAAGGCACGAACTAAAGCACAAAAAGTGTCACGGAGGGAGCGAAACAAAAAAAAACACGAACTAGAGCACGAAAAGTGTCACGGAGGGAGCGAAAAAAAAGGCACGAACTAAAGCACGAAAAGTGTCACGGAGGGAGCGAAAAAAAACACGAACTAGAGCACGAAAAGTGTCACGGAGGGAGCGAAAAAAAAGCACGAACTAGAGCACGAAAAGTGTCACGGAGGGAGCGGAAAAAAAAAGCACGAACTAGAGCACGAAAAGTGTCACGGAGGGAGCGAAAAAAAAGCACGAACTAAAGCACGAAAAGTGTCACGGAGGGAGCGAAAAAAAAAGCACGAACTAGAGCACGAAAAGTGTCACGGAGGGAGCGATAAAAAATAGCTTCCTCAACTTATGAAGAAAATTCGTTTTTTTGACTGTTATAGGTATTAGGATCTACCCAATATATATATATGTGTGTGTGTGTATGTCTGTTTGCTGTACATATTTTCAAAATGTCAGCCTTTCAATGCCTTGATGTATATATATATATATATATTTCACCGACCTTCACCAACTAGACTGTGGAGAAACCCCGATAGCTCCTTGGCTCCCCCAGCTGAACCCACCTCAATCAGCTTCTCAGGCTCCATTGGCAGCAGACTCTTCACAGCCTCCTCCTCGCTCTTCAGCAACCTCTGCTTGCTCAAGGCATCTGCCGAATCTGTCGAAAAAGATGGCAAAGGTGCCATCAAACAAATGGGGTCACTAAATGTAACTGGGGAAAATGATGATGTCTAAGGGGGATATAATGGGTATATAATCAGAATCCCCCCGCGGTGATTCTAATTTAGCTGTGTCACTGGGGGAGATGATGAAATTCATGATGATCCTCACCAGAAAAATTAGGAACAAAAAATGGGGGGTACCCTATTTTCATCTATTTTCACCCCAGAAAAGGGGGATCCCAAGTGATACCATCCCTCCCTGATTTTCACCGCAAGGAACGCCACGAGGATGTGGCAAGGGTCGATGGCCTCAGAGCCCATGTCTTTGGATTCCTTCACTGCGGCGTCCAGGACCTGAGGCCACTAACGCCATCAATGGTTAACTGGTGGTTATGGTTAACCATGGTTAACCCAAAAAATGTGGTGTGGCTTGGCGGTTTGATTTTTATGGAAATCACCCAGTGATACCCCTGGTTAAAGAACAATCGCATGATATCACATGATATCACGTGTGCACAACAGCTAAAGTGACAAGGCAACAAAAAAAACATCACCACAATCACAACCAGTCGCGGCCTTCTTACACTCTGGCGCGAAGGGGATCTCCGGTGGCAAAGTTTCCGTGCTGCGCTCCGTTCTCTCCTGCAAGGTTTTGATCATGGCGGCCACATCCAGGCCTAATCTCTTCACGACCTGGCATGGCGCGACGTGCGGTCCACCCTGGTGACACTGGTGAGAATCGCAATTAATATATTTAATTGTTTATTTATCTATTCATTTTTGGTGATAGTAACTTACAATTGATAGTAAATGATCGTAATTAATGATCGTAATCCAAAATGGATAGAGTTGATAGTCGTTTTTTTTGTAAATGAGACCGGGATATCTACAACGTGGCTGTCATTTGTGTGCTTATGCGATTTCGCCCACCCAAAAGACATGTGTTCCCTTGGGAATTTGGCAAATAATGGCCATGGGCTATGGGTACAAAGTCAGCATTCTATCCCACAGCAAAACAAACTAATACCAACAAGTTGAAAATCTGGATGTTTGATGATGTTTGTTGATTAAATCCGTTTGAAATACAGTAATTATACCTACACCAGTCCCCCGCCTGAAAATGATCTTAAAACGGGATGTTTGTTCCTACCCTTTCCTAACATCACAAGCATCCCTGGGTTTATGATCCCCACGGCCTTCTCTGTGACTCCACCACCTTGCTTCAGAACTCCCACCAGCAAAGTGTCGACTCCCACCTTTCAGGGGCCAGCGCTCCCCTCGTGGCTATCATTTGCCCGCCCGACAATTGGAGCAACCCTGGGTTTGTCCAAAAACTGGAGGATACCTCGCATTCATGTTTAAAAAAAAAAGCTGTGGCTTGATTTTTGTTTAAATCGACGGGCAAAAATCCATGACATCATCAGACCTGGAGATTTTTGGGGGGCACCATATGTTCAAACAAAAACCCCCAAATCTCCGCCAATCGGCTGAGGCTTGGCCCATGCGGCGACTTTGATCTTGAGCCGCCAGCACTGATCTCAACGCCTTCCTGGTGGGTTTTTTCCGCCCAAGGAATGGCAAAAAATGGGGGATCATCCTCGCTTTCGGATGCGGACAACACTATGTAATGAATGATGGTTCCTGCTCCCATTATGCCAATAAAAATGATGAGAGTGAAAAAGTTGTGACTGACCATTATAGTTGTAGTATGTTGTAGTTGTGAGGATGGTCGTAATGAAATGCATGGCGTGAAATCATGTGAAATCATCAGCCACACTGCTTACATACATCCCTTTGGTTAAATTCCTCTATTTGTTGAAAAAACATGTTGATGGGCAACGAAACCCCAAATTCTGCTGGTAGATCCCTATTAGAATCATTAAGTGGCAGGTGCATCGCCACTGTTTGTGGTAAATCCCACTGAATGGTAGCTGCTAGCTCAGCTTATCGCTTTTGTTAAAACCACCTGTCACCTTTCTCCTGGTGCCCATGAATCATGGTGAGTTTGTCGCCCAGCTTCTCGTTGAAACGCTCAAACAGCATTGTCATCGAAGAGGTAGCGCTGGAGGAGCGTACGCTTCCACCTGTCACCTGGACCACAGTAGGCTGGGCCATGTTCACCTTGATTCTTAGCTGGACTTCCTAAGGCTTTTCCCAATCTTTTCCATCAAATTTCCCGTGCCACCTGGATGTTCCATTGGTTTTCCACCAAGTCCCCTTGGTTTTCCCATGGATTTTCCCCCCAAAAAGCCCTCCGCAAGGCACGGCTCCAGCCATGGAGGATCCCAAAAAGCTGGAGCCGCCGGAGGAGATGCCGCCACCACTGGAGAAGCCGATGCTGCCAGCGACCACGGCCTCATCCATGAAGAAAATTCTGGGCTTTTTTTATGGAACTTCATGGTGTTGAATGAATGGTTCACTAACCAACAATATATGAGATGAATGTGTGTATATATATATATGTGTGTGTGTGTGTGAATCCCTTGCCCCTAATATTAGACATGCCCCAGAAACCATGGTTTAGTGGGGATTGACACCTTCTTAGGACCATCCAATAGGGGTGTTTAATATTAGGGGCATGGAAGAAATATCTTTGGGATTCTTTGGGTATGGTTTGTGCTATTTTTGCAGTAGTTGAATTACTTTAGACTATCGACGTCGGATATTTGAACTATTTCAGAATATTGTGTTCTAAGACTAACTATGTATTTGTATATTTGGGAGGATTTACATTTATCTCTACATCGCCATGTTGATGACCACATTGGCCAGAATCGGTGAGGTTATATATAACTTATATAACCATTGTTCTTCCCGTTTGTAACCCTCAACTGCAGCCCCAAGTATTTTCAGAACAAACCATCTGGAGGTGTCTGAAAATGGGTTTTGCCCCAAATGCTGTTTCACTTGTTTTATTGGGCCTCCCGAGCCACCAAATTGCTTTAATAGGATGGTGATGACGATTCGCCGATGATAAATTATCCCCAAGCATACAGAAAATGGGCGTTAAAAATAGTTAAAAAAAACTCAAGTGAGTGGTTACAAAAAATCTATCCCCAAGAGTGGTAGGGTGATTATTGTGCACATTTGTGCGCCACATTACCATCTTTTCAACCCACGTCTGCTGCGTACCTTCTCCGCCTTTCGCGCAGCCTGACGCTTTGGGAAGATCCAACGGAGGCCAGCAGCCGCCGCGGCCAGCGCCGCTGCAGAGGCGGAGAGTGGGGTGCTCCTGTGGCACCGGGAAACCATGGGAAAATCAATTGAAAGGCTTCTGGAAGATCAGGAGATTCCGCTCAGCTAGTCGGGTTCAAGTCATTTGGGATCATCTCAGCTTGGCATAGGATTAAAAATGTGGAAAATGAGCCGAAACTTGAAAACTCCAAGCAGAAACAAACGTGGGCAGAAGAGCACCTGAGAACCTTTCAAACACCCTCAGGATCCAAGTGTTTGGTTTTCCTTGGCCCCCCCCTCCCCCCAAAAAAAACACAAAGACCCACATCAAAAAAACATGAAAAAACCTGGTGTGTTAGTACATCTTCAAGACTGGCCCAACGATCCAAATTTCAACCGTCCTGGTTCCCTGGCCCTCTTCGGAACCATTCATCTCAAAGGCAGGAACACTTGGCGCTGGACCCTGCGCATGCGGGGCACGAGCCACCCCAGGGCCAACCACAAAGGAGCCGTCCAAACACAGCGGTGCCAGGGCAGAGGTTGCCACTGCCGCTAAACCTGGAGAAATGCCACAAGAAACCACTTCGAAGACCTGAAACTGAAACTCTGCATGCTCAACGGCAGAGAATCAAGAAATCGTGTTCCATGGTGTTCCTTTGAAATTTTGAAAGGCTGTTGTGAGTTGCTGCTTTGCTATTCACTTTCCTGAGGAAAAGTGAGGACCGATGAACATGACTGGTTGTTTACGTTGTTTGGACCCAGAGACCCATGCGTTGCATGCGTCGGCGGTCTGCCCGACCAGACTGTGGCTTCGAAAACGACACCATGGCACCACTGAGCGAGAGTGGACTGAGCACCGGGTTCTAAAGTCTGTCCCGTTGAACACGGTCTTTGAAGACGCGCTTCAAAATTGCTGCGGAGAATAGGGCCGAATAGGGGGTCGTCTTTTGCAAGTGAGACTTCGGGACATATGGGTGGAAAAAAACGATGACCACCTCCTAAAGGGTCCCCCAGAGTGGTCCCCCACCTCGATTAATTTAAAAATTAAACCGACGGGTCCCAACTTAGTTCAAGGTACCTATATTAATTTGCTCGGCAGCACTTCCCCCCCACCTAGATGTAACAAATGGTTCTCTCCCCACCCACCTCAATTAATTTCAGGTAAAATTATTCAAGAGTGGTGGAACTACCATTTCTTCTTGGGTCCAGGGGACCCCAAATAATTTCTTCTAATTAATTGAGGTGTGGTTAGCTAAATTATTTGAGGTAGGGGTGAAGGTATGCATCTTTTATTAGATACAGTGCCTGATCTATCTATGTCGCTTTTTTTGGTGGCGT